GAGTTGCAGTTGCAGTATATACTTCCTATATCTGTCCTTCTTACACTGTTAACCGTCTTATCAGGTTAGCCAATGGTATTCTTTGTCATAGGGTATGGCAGTTTGACTATACGGTGTTTCATCACTGATACACAGATAAGAGAAAACTCCCAGGCCTCTGGTAGAAGATCAAGTTTACCAAGATAAGCAGATTTGTTAAATGTTGAGTTGGGCTCCAGGTTATGGTTTTCAATATAATAGAATGCAGATTAACCGCCTAATCTATCTTAAAACTTTGTCCTTGTTTGTGCACTATACTGTATTTTTTACCCTCTAAAAGTCCTGCAATTAAAAAGAGTAAATAAAAGAAAACAACCAACCCTGTTGAATGGAGCTCTGGGACACACTGGAACAAACTGTTATGCGATGCTGAGATTGATGTTTGGTTAATTAAAAAATCTACACCTTTTGAACTCTCGCAGTCCCGTAAAAATCCCACTTCCACTTTCACACCACTGTTGGGATGTTGTCTTCGCTGTAGTCTTCACCAGGTTAACGCCTAACATGCTAGATGACATCTAATGCTATCCATTGTTCGTCACACTTTCTAAGAAGTCACAGAAACTCTCCTTTGCCACATATCACTCATATATATCAACATATCACTCGTTTGCCAGTCTGTTTGTGCACTCACAATCACTTTTTTCAGCTCATCATTTAGAGTCACAATGAAGACACAGAGATAACTAAGAAAAGTCTGCTGTGTCTGAGTCATTTTTATAACCCTTCATGCAGTTAGGTTTACAGGAAACCACAGGTGTGGTATTTTAGTGACCACAGACATATTCACCTTTGTTGCACTGAGCTTCTACTTTTTCGCTTTATTAGACAACCGTACTGGTTCACCAATTACCACAGTAGTTCACGTTCTTTCCATACAATAAACACACTGTTGTGAGCATTGTTTGTGACTGTTTCAAGACCTGCCTTCTATCTACAGGAGAAGTCAGGGCTGTATGATATCATATATACATAAAGCACATTTTACAAAGAAATATAAAAAAGGCCCTCCTCTGTGGTAGTTGGGAGATATCTTGGCCAATCTGCTGCTAAAATAACCACTGGCAACACGAAGTGAGTGGATGATTTCTTAAAACAAACGACTGAAGCCAGAACCAATCAGGGAAAATATATTGACAATGACTGACTTATGATAGAGACTCTAAATACACTTAGAAACAATCAGAGCCTTCAATGTCTACTAGCAGTCCACCTTAGATTATCAATACCAATAAAGGCGCCCTCTGCATATGCCACTTTTAAGGCGCATCTCAAACAATGGTTTATCACAAACCAAGCATGTGGTCATTTTAAACACTTTTATTGTGTGATATGTTGTTTGTTTTGTTACATATCTTAATGTTTTTCTTTATCACATAGTTTTATGTGACCTGAACAGTCACAACTGAGGCAAGTTAGCAGTTTTGCTAAACTCTGGCTTGTTAGATCTTCTTGCACTCATGTTCATTAACATGCACCGTCCCTGTTAAATAAACACAGACCTGCCTAAAGCCAAAGTCCAGCACAGACAGAGAGAGCAATTTTAAAAAGATGCAAAACAGATCCAGGTATAAGGTTACTCTGGTGCATGGCTGCTCCTTTCTACATCTACCATCAGTCTCTGTTGTGAACTGATTGATTCCCTCGTAACTGCTGAAAGACTGTTAGCTAGCATTACACAGCATGCTATTCAGTGAGTGCATTTTTGTAAATGTACAGTAATTAGTGCATGTCATTATGTTTTGTTCTGCTGAGGAGAGTTAGCTGTGGATCACATTTTTTGTCTCGTGTTAATTTTGTGTGTCAGGTTAACACAGGTCCCCTACCAATAATGACTATTATTAAAATGCATTAGACAGACTTGAAACGCCACATCTGGCATTTTGTCTTTTTACAAGTATCACGTTATTGAATTTAAATCCTATCACCTGAACATTATCACTGATTGGAACACGCAGAAATTACAATCCCAAACAAGTGTAATAGTGGATGCAGACCCAACAAGCACCAGCCATGAACTGAGTGAGAGTGCAAAGCAGAAATACAACAACACGTCCAAGCAATGTCCAGTTAGGTTAGCAAAAAATAACGTGCTCAGATTTCTTCCTTTCATTCTTAGCCCACTTTCTTCCAGTTTTCATAACAACATCAAAGCAGTACTGGCTAGATTTTCTTTTCTTTTCTTTTAATCAACTCGGGAATGAAACAAGCTCCAGTCCTCCCACCTTCACGACGGCCACTCAGCATCCACGTTACCATGGAAACCAGACCGAGCCGATGGAGCCTAGTAAGCCCTGTCAATCAAAACGCTGATGTTACACCTTCTCTAATGCAGAGGGAGTGTGCTAAATTCTCTGGAAAACAGTAACAGGAAAGATTCGTTTGGCAATCCCTCCTCACTTCCTGCATCATCTCAGCTGGACTCGCCAAATGATGAAGTGTGTCACTTCATCATTTGTGTCGCTTCACACACGGGCGGTTTTAAGCCCTTTCAGATAGATTATAAGGCACTCGGAGCGTTGTTTTGACTGGACAAGCAGCTGTGGCTAAAATCCGGACTTATATCAGCAAAGGCTAGGCTTACTGAACAAACCTCCACCCTGAGAGCAGCTCTCTGACCTCGCACCGTCAGCACTGTCGTCTCATCATCTTACTCTCAGCCGATCCGGGTACTAACGACACTCCATATAAACACAAGGAACACGTTTGTGAAATTAAACGTTAGGTCACAGGCAGGCAATGCAGATGCAGTGATTTAACATTAGCATGCAGGCTAACTATTAACAGTGGGTGGGTAGCATCGTCTTAACAGTTTCCTTACGCTCCGATCTTGTTGCAATAACTAATATCACGCATTTCCTTAAATTCTTGAACATCTCATCACATCACTTATGGAGGCTGATAGGAGTACATCCCACGTCGGTAAAAAAAAATATCAATTTATTGCCCCCAAAGCTGTCAGTGCAGTTAGCGAGCAGGCTAACCAGTGATGAGCTAACGCCAGCCCGCTCAGGGACATTCTTTCACATCACCCATACTGCACTCGGCTCTTACCTCATAGTTCACTTTCCATCGTTGAATGCTGAATAAATTAGGCAGATGGGTGCTTATGTGACCACACAATGTGGTCTCTTCTCCCAAAATTTGCTGTTTTATCACTAAAACCCTTTCCGGTGAATCTCCCGTGGCTCTGGAATCCTGACCGACTGAGGGACAGCTGGAAAATGGGGTAACGCCACTGAGATATCGCGAGATGTTCTCTCACAGTAAATTACATCGACGCAATCTCGCGAGAACGGTTTTCTTGTCCGGATCACAGGGATTCTCTGCGAAATAAACGGATTAGTAGCGCTCCTGTCGGCAGCTGTTAATTAGAAAATACATACATTCATACATTTTAAGAATAAATTAATAATAATTTAAAAAACTCTTAGCAATAATGTAAAATGTGTAATGAATCAAATAGATAAATAAATACGACATGGCTAAGATTTCATCCTTGCAGGCAACACATACAGAAAACCAACACCAAAATAAAATAGCCTCATTAAGTAGAATAAAACCGAGCTTTAAAACAAATGCTACTATAGCAATATCACTCAAGTGGAAATTACTAAAAACATAATATTTTGACCCTTTGACAAAAAATAGCTCATTGTTGTAAAATAAAATAAAGCAAAACTAGAACAGAACTGGTTTGATGTAGCAGAAAAATAAAATTAACTAAATAAATGCAGAAATTCATTCATTAAACGGAGTTTTTGCTAGTAATTCACTGGCTTTTGTTAAGGCATAAGGTTTTCTTAAAACAGTTTTAATTAACGTACTGTTTTCCTTGTATTATTATTATTATTATTATTATTATTATTATTATTATTATTATTATTATTATTATTATTATTATTATATACGAAATCGAACTGAAAAGAATTCATTTCATATTACATGTCCAGTAGTGGGCGGTATTGTAGTCATAGAAAGAAAAAACAACGAAGAAGAGGAGGTCAGCTGATTGACTTTATCCATACCGATCCCGGCGGTTTGATTTTTCCTATATTAGACTCAGCTGTTATTTGAAGAGCATTAGTCCAGTCGGTCACGTTAATAATATTTTGATATTCTGTGT